AATTGTCGTCGTCACGGTGACGTGCTCGTCGATCGACACGTATAGCCGCGGCGTGCATTCAATGACCCATAACGAGCCGTTCGACGAAAGCACGCCGGAAAAATTACGTGAAACGTGTTGAGGCGGTGGCACGCGACACCGTTCTAGACGAACGGGTCATTTGGGATGCGAGGGGCGGATTCCCGTGGCCACGGTGCATGATAATTACCGGCAAAGAAAGCTAAGGCGAGCCTCGGCCCCACCTTCGGGCTCCCTGGAGATTACAGGATGTCCGGAGGCGAGAGAGGATCCCCCGGCCGCGGAACCCAATCCACGTCTAATCAAAATTAACCACCGACCTCGTCGAATTCGGACATGAAAGAGGAACCGACGCAAATAGACGCCGACACGGGAATAACAAATAATTGTCGTCGGACCACGCGCCACCCGCGAGCTCCTCCGTATTTCCGGCGGACTTTGTATTTAACGCGCGTTCAACATTTTCGGTGACTTTACCGGCGATGCTGATGAGATTGCTTAATCCTTGGATCACCACTTGGGAGATCCGAAGGGTCGTGGAATTTTTAATGCACGAGATTCGAGAGAATTTTAAGCCGACTTTTGATTGGCACACTTTTCTCTTTAGATATTTTTCACGATGTTCAGTCCCATTTAGCTTTATTTATCAATTTATTAAAAATATTTTTGGAGGCACGTGTTAAAAATAAAAATTGTCGACACTTATTTTAAGCTCTAAGAGCTATTAGGTTGGCAAAGAAGGTATTTTCGATCGGCACGTATAAAGAGCGTTGTAATTGTTGCTTCAAAACCGAAATTACTTTCTTGCTAGCCTAATACATACACATTTATGTATTTCCTTAATCATTTAAACGTGTTACAATTAACGCAGCAGCAGTTTTAAATCCTTCAAATCTATTTAATGTTTTGCGTTTGGTCTATTCTCATTTTTGCTATAAATGCATAAAATCCGTTGTCTACTCTTTAGTACAGATCTTTATGCGAATCTTCGCTTTCGTGCTTCATTCTATAAAAACGGAAATAAAGGAAAAATTTCTTCCATTGACGAAAACATTTCTTATGGTAAAAATATTAATACACACTCTAGTGTGTATTAATAAATAACGTGTGTTTCCTCAATGTGGGAAACATTCATTTAATTTAATTGCCAGGAATTGGATAATTAAACGCCATCGAAAAATCCAATTTATCATTAAAGCCATGAAGCATCGTAATTGTAACATCGCAATACCAACAACAAGAAATTATATCCTTGCGGAAGAGGAATTCATGATGCAGAGTGCACAGTTAAATATGGCAGCCTCGTTACAGTATCAAAACCGCCTGTTAGAAAATCAATTTAGCAGACCGCTGATTTACGCGCAATCACGACGAGCCGAAAGTGTTAATCACCTGCACATTACTTATCGAATTAAAAATGTCGCCCCTCGACAGAATTATGGGCAAGAGATTGGCCAATAAAAATGTCTCATCGCGAATCCATAAATCATCGTCCCGTGGTCAAGGATGACAAGCCGTAAATCATCAATTTCCGAGATGTAGTCCGCAGTTAAGGTAATTAAAATTAAGCGAAAAATAAACGATTACAGCGTAACCATTATGAGCGAAGAGGTCCCGAATTTTTTCAGCAGCTCGGAGGTAGGTTCGCAGGAAGAGAAGGGTACTCCTTCCTTCCGATTCCTTAGGGTTACACGTGGCGGGTCCTTTTAATGGTCCGGCACGATAAACATATCGAAATTATGATGGAGGATCGTCGGCGTAAAGGACGAGCGGTCCCGGTGCTGGCTTTTGCGGCGAGAAAGATCCTCTGTGTTTCTCTTTTCCTCTCTTCGTCTCGCTCTCTCACTCTCTCTCTCTCTCTTTCTCTCTCTTCCTCTGTTTTCCTTTCTCTCCACCCGCTGCCTCCTCCACTTTTAATTTTCAGGCGCGGCTAATTATGATTTACGGCAACATCGGCGCAACATCCTGATCGGTACGCGAGATACCGCCCGCAGGATATTCAAATGCGATGAATATTGCTCGCCGCGATAAACGGCGCACGAACAACGACAACGGACGACGAGAGCAGCAGGAGAGAACGAGAAACAAGGGCCAGAGAGACGGAAAGGGGGAAAGAGAGAAAGAGAGAGGAGAGGCGCGCGTGTAAAGGATACGAGAAAAGGATTCTTAGTAGTCTATTCGGTATGCAAGATGAGGAGTCAGACCTGTACACACCGAGCCGAGGCCCTTCCACCCCAAAGGATGTATATCCTCGTGGATTATTCGATATATCGAGCCGCGGTTCACTCGAATCTTCGACTTCCTTTTCCTTTTGCAGTTCGCCCGCCGCAGAACCCACGGCGTCCAGGCTGACGCGTTTACCATTCGGAACCGTTTAAAAAGCGGCTGCCGTTATTAGTCGAGATCCTTATCGCCGAGGAATATAAGATACTTATTTATACAGATAGGGAGCTCCTTTACGCGTGTTCTCACATGAATTACATCCGCGTGAAGATCGCCGGCCGATAGCGTAAACTTTCCGCAGGAGCGGGGCAATTTGTCGATATTTGTCAGTAAAGGTGGACGCGATATTAAACGCCGAGTTCCACCGCGACGATTCGACTACGGATCTTTATGCGAAATTGAAATTCTTTCTAAGATTCACCGGGAACAGATGTTCCTCGTGAACGTATTTAACTATTCAAATATTTTTCGTATTTGATATTTCGTGTAGCCATTCCTGTCGTGCATGCATGAAATTCGCAGCGATTGCGAACGTTCGGATGGCGGGAAATAAATGGCCAATTTGTATCCTTCGTTCACTTTTGGTGTTCACGATGATTACGCGAACTATTATGAGTTCATTCGTAGAAGATAAAAGTTAAAGAAAATTACTTCATCCTGCTGCAAATCCGATAGCTATACTGCGGGTCATTGAGCAACATAAACATAGTTCGCATCAATTGCAAGTAATGGGAGACTGCTAGGAGTGTATTAGTCCTTTCAATAGTTTCAAAACATTGAAAATAAAGTAACTAATTCTTAAATTCTTTTAATGTTTTCGCAGTTCACTGGTGACACTACAAAAAGATAAAAATCTAAATAACAGACTGTGAATTTTTATATAAAATACAAGATCTCTGCATTAATTACTAGACGCAGAAGTTGAAAAGTTATTTCTACACGTAATAATTTTAATAAGTTATTGACAATACTCTACTCTACTCTATTCAATACTCGATAAAGGTACTCTAACATTGTTGTTATATTGTTAAGTATATTTTGTGAAAGCATAAAATTCACAGTCTACCGATTAAACTCTCGGAAACATTTTTCTAAATACATAAATATCTAAATATAAATGTGCAACTATGAATCTCTATAATTCATCTAATTCGTTCTACAATAGTTTAAAACTATAAATACTGACTTTCCTATCCCCGCCTTTATACTTTTTCATCGATCAACACAAGATAAAGACAAATTGCGTATACTGCAAGAACCAAAGACTGAAGTAAGCTCGCAACTCGGTAAAAAATTCACGAACCGCAATTACGTTGATCAGCACACGTAAATTATATCGGAACGGTATCGCGTTAAGCACAAGAACACTGATCGGCCGTGTATTTCCCAGCAGCCTAATGCAGCTCGTTGTTAAATGAGTCGCGCAAAGACACGAACGTGTTGGTTTATTAGGTAGAGAGTTAATAAGGATCGATGTATCATTGTTAAGATTACCACGCGTCTTTCTGTTATTGTTCGCAAGAGTCTTTTTTTCTTGTTCGTCGGCGAGACAGGCCACGCTTTCCCCTTTCGAGCATTTTGCAATCGCCCGACTCCGTTATTTCGAGCGAACGACCGATTACCGATCGCGATTAGGCTGGTTACAGCAGGCGCGCCTCGCCGCGGAATGTATCGCGAAAGAATGGCTACACAATTTGTTAGTCAATGAATCTGAATAGGTTACCGGAGGCATAATCGCGCGGACGACCTGGCCAGAAAATAATTATCCTGGCTCCTGTTGCGACCACGTGAGAAACCGGCGTCCCGGGTGAAAGCTTGCGGAGAAAAGAATGATCTACCCTTCTGTGGACAACCGTCGTCGACAATTGTTCATTAAAATATTACAACATTCTACTAGTCTTTGGAGACTATTAATCCTTAAATGAACTTTCAAGATAGACCTTGCTTCGCAAAACATTGTGACATGACAGAAAGGTTACCTAAATCTTCAGATAGTTGCAATCAAAAGTAGGTAAAATTTGATTAGAGTAACGGATAGTAGATGAAGATTAAAATAAGAAATTTTATGCGACACTACCGAATAAATATTTATATAGAATTTATCCGGATAAGATTTTATTCGAATATGAATTTATTCGTACATGCTAGAATATAAAGCGAATTTTTTCATAGTTCATCGATTTATTTCTTCCACGTTCCTGTTTTTCAAATGTTGCATCGAAAAGATTGTTATTGACGCATAACTAAATAAATTTTCCACGGGTACAGAGGAAGGCATCGGCAATTCTACAATTCTATAAGCAGATGAAACTGAGCTGATCCTGAATATATTTGCGTAAAATAAAAACAGTCAACAACTATCCCGACTATTATTCGAATAATTTTACAACCTCTATTCAAACAACTTATATTCGAATAAATAGGTAGAACGAATAATCGTTGTACGAATAAAATATTCGACTAAAGGGAATTCATTCGGATAATTATCTTACTTAGATAAATATTTATTCGAAACAATTTGAATAATGCCCAACACTGGCACAACACCGTTCAATAACTTTGCAGTTGTTAGACGAACATTTTTCTGTCTCGAATAGAAATCAATTTATAATTATCTAAGAAAGTACAAATTCAAGATATCGAAGACAAATTTGGGGTAAACGTAAATAGCTCGATTAAGGATTAAATTGATTTTTTAGGATAGTAGAGTTTATACAGTTGGCCACAGAAGAGAGAAGAGAGAAGGAGTGATTAGTTACCTTGTCAGATCGCTTTTTAGTGGGCGTAATAGTGCCATTAGGTCTGCCATGAAGATCGGTCTCGCTAGCCATCCGGTTGAAGCGTTGCATCCGCTCGCGGAAGCTTAATTGCTCGGCTGAGCTAGGATTCCCCGTAACAGCCTCATCTTCCTGCACGTTTAACAACTCGCATTGCCGAATCTCAGAGAATGGAGTAACACACAACACTATGGCGAACTACTATAGCGCAAGGGAGGACGAAAACAAAAACTGTACTCCGAGGAAAGAGACTTCTAAAGTGCTGAGAGGAGCTGGAAATGCGGATACTAGTTGTCTATGATTTGCTACCATGCTTCTAAAACATAGCTGTCTACGTGTGACTAGTCTACGTGATACGTGAACATGCCGGGGAAGGATTCAGAATACAAACTGAACATGTAGATCCTGATAAAAGTGCAATGTTCAGTTCTTAGAGCGATGTGTATTGTTCCATTTTTCTGGATTAACCCTCCGCTGTCATACTGGGACAAAATGTTCTATATCTTTTTTCGAAAAAGTGATACTGTCGTGAGAAGAAACAAATTAAGAATTAATTCCATCTAATTTTTTGATCAAGATTCTCCCTAAAATTGTCCATTTTTATGTACAATCCGAGCATCGATTAGGGAGAATTTACTGTACTTGGAAGTGCGATATCGGATCCTAATAAAAGGAACAATGTTCTAGAATGTTCAAAATATATTCTCAAATTTGTCAGGGCTAGTAGATACTGCTAGTTTTCGAGTGACAATTGTTTGAATACTGAAATGGATCCGAGTGATCCAATATGACATACGTATTTCGCCTAGGAAGTATAACAGCGATGGGTTAGAGTACACTTTTAAGTAATCGATGACCTGAGATTTTTTAGATGCGACATAGGTGATTAGTGTACAGAGTGATTCAGTAAGTTCACAAGTAGGTTTAGCAGTATCCAATTTTGTTGTATCTTTGATCGGTTCGAATTACAACCTTTAGTTAACCAGAAGACCTTTTAATGGCCGTACTTCACCTAAAAGTAGCCCAACAATTTTCTTTTAATCAATGATCCCATCACAATTAATTAATTGACGGGTTGTAAACCCAGCTTGCGCGAAAATAATTGGCCTCTCGTTACATGCGTCGACTGTACTCGCAGAAGGTACGTTACGTAACCGAAAAACGAGTAACTGTTTTCTTGAATCACCCTGTACAAGGTCCATTAAGTCGCCAATTATTCTCGAGGGACAGGTGTGTCTCTCGAGTCCGTCAGGATCTTATTAAAACGTCTCGCAAAAAGGAGGACATTCCCACAACTGATCCCCGCTAACTGAGCGCGGCTAAGTGACAACTGGTTTTACGAAAAAAAAAAGAAAAAAAAAAGGAAAAGAAAAAAGACAGAAGTTTGCGTAACACAACTGCATATGATCGCGCACGGTGCAGAACGTTTCTTAGCGGGACAATAGCAACACACCGGGCAAGGCACATCGGTTTCGCATACTACGCCCGCCATTACCGCCGCTTAAGTGACGTTTACTGTAACCATGATCACCTTTGTACATAACCGAACCCTGTACACGCAACAATATCGTCCAATAATGCCCAAATTATCTGGTCGCGAGCGACTGCGCGATAAAGCATGTACATGTTTCTCCACTCTATCATTTGCACACTTTATTTGCGTGTACGACCACAACCGAGGATTTACAGACAAAACACCGGGTACACAGCGTGCATACATAAAAAAAAAAAGAAAAGAAAGAAAACGAAAAAACCAAAACGGAATGAAAGCAACGTGAAATTTTATCGAACGTCCGGCTCTATTATCAGCAAATATGCCGATCAAATTTATCGTTACCGACGCGCGCGACAGCGCTCGTTTTAATCGGTGCGATCTACACGGCATTCAATTCTCCGAAACATTTAGATTCGTTATCGTGGGGAACGTAAATTTTCGAGGTACGGATTTAATCCACTTTTTTGGCACAATTTGGACTCGAACGCGGAAACGTATCTTTGTATGGTGTTCATTTTGAATCCATCATCGTTAAGATCTAATTGTAACGTCTTGTATCGTTAAAGGTGAGCAAAATTATTGAATAGGATTTAAATGGTTTACAGACATGCAATTGTTGGTGACAAAACAAATGTCTGCGAAAGTCATGTTAACGATTTTTTTCAAGGTCGTGAGATATATATTTTTTAATTAACGGCCATTTTTGTGAAACAGAGTAGCAATTATAGCTAAGATGCGACGAGTATTTTGTATGTACCACGATCTTGGAGTGACCGTGACAGCGAACATATTAATTTCGTCATGAGCATTTCAAAAACCTATTAAAATAAGGTGAAATTCTTCTACCCGCATTAACATATTAACATATTAAGCGAACATATTAATTTTGTCATGAGAATTTCAAAAACCTATTAAAATAAGGTGAAATTCTTCTACCCGCATTATTGTTTTATAGACTATTTATATCGATTATTTAACTGATTTTATTACGAAACTCGATGTTACTTCGTAAAATAAATACAATTGCATCCGAAAAATCGTTAAAATGACCTTTCCATAATTTGTATCGTCACTGCCAGATGACGTCCTGGAACAATTTAAGACCTAAATTTTAATTCCCATTCGGTTATTTGTAAAGCCCTAATATTACTGGAGATGATTTAGAAAATTCGAAATAAAATGAACACCCCGTGCATGAAGCAATTTTCCAAGAAAGTGTCTCTAAAAATCTCCTCGTAAAAACTACTTAATTTCCACGAAATTTCCACGAAATTTAAATTTTTCGCGCACCGGAGCTGGCCTAGATAAGATTTCACGCTTCGTTTAAACTGATCTACATGCAGGAAAAACTCACCTTGATGACTGCCTCGGATCCCCTGTTTCTGTCGACGTTCTCCTTGTTCTCGATCTTGATCTTATCCTGACTTTTACGACGCGGTGGCACCGGGGGCGACGACGTTGAAAATCCTGCGTCGACACCGTGAACACCATTTTTCCGCGCGTCGATCGCAGCTACCTCGCGCGCAAAATCTGCATTAGAATCCGCGGGAACAACGTCGATTCCTACCGTTGGACTTAGAGGCGCCGGGGGTGGTGGCCGGTATGGCGGAGGTGCTCGAAGCGGAGAGACCGGAGTGACAATGTCCGGTGTTGTGAGAGGAGTTCCCATCTCATCCGGAGACGAAAACTCCAGGACAATTTGCCTGTACTTCTTCTTCAGGACCAAATACTTCTCCCCCTGCAACGAACGGGACGACCGGATGAATGGACGGGACGACGCGACCGGTTTTCCCCGATTACAACGTGTCTCGTGAGTTCACCTTTTATATCATGTTTCGCTTATTGAAACGACACTCGAGATGAACGTTAGGTACAATGATATAACTGACGTCACTTATAACGAACTTTTATAACCGACGAATTTTCGGTTAATTTTTTATAACTTCCATTGCGGGAAAGCAGTGCAAAAGCTAATTACACAACGCTTCTAAATTTATCTTTTTGATCCCCGTTTCGAACTATAATTGTCAGGAGTCGTAGACTTATAGCAACTGTTACACAACTGGAATTAGAATACGCATTAACGGAAATGCAATTCGATCCGCCGATATTTATAAGTTTATATTACAATGTATATATATTTTACCACGATTTCTATGCAATTACGAGAGCCTACAAAGTTAACATCCAGAGTCTACTTCGTGGTAAAATATATATATTGTAATAAATATATATTATATATATTATTATATATATTATATATTAATATATAATATATATATTTTACCACGAAGTAGACTCTAGATGTTAACTTCGTAGGCTCTCGTAATTGTATAAAAATCATGAAACGTGTATTGCAATAATAAGATTAGTGAATCGAAAAGCGACAGAACCGTGTCTTTGGATAACGCGGGTTCGGTATCGCTAGACACAAATAGAACCGACAACGTCGCATCGCGCGCAACAAGTCGCTCCTGTCAAGGCGGAAGGGAATCTCTCTCTGTATGACGCACCTCTTCATTCTTTATGGTGGCCAGGGTGTTCACGTACTCCTTGAACCGATTCCGTGCCTCGACTGTAACGTGAATTCGTGCATTGTTCACCGACTGTCGTACTAGTTGCACACACCGGGTGTGACACGTTATTGAATCCGTCCTGTGTTTACACACAGCACACGGGTGCAACATCGAGGTCACACCTCGGCGAGGCGAGACAGTTAACCGTACGAAATCCACGACGGGATTTCACGATACCTCGGGTTTCCGGATCCGTTAGGAATTTCTTGAAATACTTCACGACATCGTGGTTTCGCGCGGTGCCGCCGTTTTCCAGTAAATATTTCCGAATCTCCTCGAGAGACAGCTCGCTGGGCATCGCCATCTTGTCACTACTGACGGCCACGCCAGCGCCGCCAGGCGGCTGATCGAGGACGCTGTCGATAAAAACGACCTCTGCGCCACTTCGCACGCGAACGCGCGCGTAACGGTTTCGCTGTGTTTCTGCAGCATGCTCTATTTAGGAATTATAAATCACGAGGACAGTGGAGCCCGCGCTTATATCGCGTTTTACACGTATTTTCCCGTCGGTATTTTTTTATGAAATCGTGAACGATGAACAGACATTAGTTGCAGTGATTATTGTTATGTATATATATATGTATATATATATGTTAGGGGGACCGGAAAGTAATGTCGTTTTTGCGCATGTCAGTATTCCTTCTCTTTTGCATATTAATTTTTGCATACTATAAATTTGCATACTAAATGAAAAAAGGTTGTTGATAATGAGGGTGATTGCATCATTGATTGAAAATAAAAACTAGTTAAAAATTTATCTGTTTGAATTTAATGTAAACAAACGACATAACTTTCCCCGGTTCCCCTAATATATGTTATTATTATTGTTGAAATACTGCAAAGATTTGTGCAGTTGTATCATATAATACCTGAAGAAAGATAGAATCATTTTAGTGATAGCTTCGGTTTCTCATAACGAAAATTGATTTTATTTATTTATTTCATTGTTGAATGTCTTCCGGTTACATCGAATCTTTATCCTAAACTTCTTAATAACTAAACTACACAATATTGTGCTTGAAGTAGTTAAACTATGCACTTTATAACAATTTCTCTCGCAGCTAATCATAACATAAATATAAACTTGAACTTAAAATATGAAATATAAGACATAATATGTAATACTTAAACCAAACTTGAATCATTACTCTGAAACTTTGGTCTAAAGAAAAGCTAAGATTTGAATTTAATCTCCTGCATTTTGAAAATTGATTTTATATATTTATGTTTAAATTGAATTTAAATTAAATTAGAAGTCTGGTAGTAGGAATACTTTCGTCGGCTTTCGCCGTTCAGCCATAAACGCGACACTGATCCGATGCCATCGGAANGCATCATTGATTGAAAATAAAAACTAGTTAAAAATTTATCTGTTTGAATTTAATGTAAACAAACGACATAACTTTCCCCGGTTCCCCTAATATATGTTATTATTATTGTTGAAATACTGCAAAGATTTGTGCAGTTGTATCATATAATACCTGAAGAAAGATAGAATCATTTTAGTGATAGCTTCGGTTTCTCATAACGAAAATTGATTTTATTTATTTATTTCATTGTTGAATGTCTTCCGGTTACATCGAATCTTTATCCTAAACTTCTTAATAACTAAACTACACAATATTGTGCTTGAAGTAGTTAAACTATGCACTTTATAACAATTTCTCTCGCAGCTAATCATAACATAAATATAAACTTGAACTTAAAATATGAAATATAAGACATAATATGTAATACTTAAACCAAACTTGAATCATTACTCTGAAACTTTGGTCTAAAGAAAAGCTAAGATTTGAATTTAATCTCCTGCATTTTGAAAATTGATTTTATATATTTATGTTTAAATTGAATTTAAATTAAATTAGAAGTCTGGTAGTAGGAATACTTTCGTCGGCTTTCGCCGTTCAGCCATAAACGCGACACTGATCCGATGCCATCGGAATTTCTCTATCATCCTCGTTGAGTTAACGAATGTTGTACGTACATATGAGCCGCTTATTTTGAAAGTGGCATAAGTCACTTTACCGTAATGAAAAGTGGTGATTTTTTAATGTTTATACGAAATTATTTATACCGAGAAAAATATCAGTATCCTGAGATAACAAATAAAAGTAAATCTTCTCGAAAGTTAGCATCCATATACAAACTCTTAAATATATCGACTTAAAAACAAAGTAACTTATGCCACTTTCAAAATAAACGGCTCTCTCTCATATGGTTAATTTACATTCTCAGTTTCACTTCGCTTAATTAATTGCGGCTATTCGCGTGGAAGATCTAACGTTAAAAGTATCGCATCGGACTAGAATTAATTTATCACTTCGGAAAAATATTCCAGTAGGAATGTAGCAAAGTTATGCAATACTGTAGTCGCATATAATTCATTTCACTCTCGTGTGTCAGATAACGTGTTAATTCTACGACTCGATACCTTTATTGACGTACGTAAATGATTTACCAGAGGTACAAATAGTATTACGTAAATTACGTTCGAATCGTAACGTGTCGAACGCGACACTCGTCGAGACATTTATTTCTCTCCGATCTAATACAAGAAAAACCAGTGAACGCGATAAAAAAAAGAAAATGGTTGCTCAAGAGCGCAGAATGAAATCGCGCCAATTAATGCGCCAGTATTCGCGAAGCCTAATTCAATTATTACCTGCGGATGGGGTTCAAAACGAGCGCCTCCGAGAAAATTCAACGAACTCCGCGTTTAGAAGAATATATATGAAAATTATGCAGGCCGAACTGATTTGTAAATACACATAACGAAATGCAAATTGTTTCTTTCCATAAGAGCGGTAACGGAACAGCCCCGCGCGTTCGATGCGCCACCGGAAGGAAAAGCTTTCGTAACAAGTGAACGACGTCTAATTGACGGTTAGAAATGTAAATAAAAATTACGTATGCGTGAAAATGCATACACGTACGCAGCCTGTAATTTCGTTCTTAACAATGTACTAACGAGCGGTAATCACATCGACCAGCCCCGGCAAAAAAGAAAATTGGCAACGTCATTAGTAACCGGTGCAATCGTTGCGGCTCATGCATAACGCATAATACGACTCAATTATATCGTATTATAATTGCGACGATAGAGGCGTGCACCGGAGTCCGGCTGCTCTCTGTCGGCGTCGCGACGCGATTGAAAATCACCCGGGGACGCGGCGACCGATTTTTCGCTTCTGCAACTGCAGGCCCGTGTTGAACGAGCGACGATCGAGCCTGACATTCGAATCGCTCGTGCAAATAGACGATTCGCAAAACCTTTTAGCCGTCCGACGCGTTTCATTCCATCCATGCGGACGTCCGGCCGACGAATCCCTCGAATCGACTGGTATCCAAATGAATTTTTATTTCAAACCCGCTTAACTATCACGTGCTCGTCGATTACAGCCAATAAGTATAAAAATAGCACGGTTAAATCTGCGCAACGTGATAGTTAAAATTATTTCTGGAAAACCTTCGACGTTCTTCAATATTGTGGACGCGCAACGATCCGTATTTCTTTTTTCACAAAGATCGCAAGCAACTCCGTTGATCGATAAACTCGAAACATTGTCACAAGTCGATTTAAAATTGTTCTAGGAATTGAAAGAACTAATACAAAAGACTCGAGGCTTGCAATACATCGGCAACAAAGTTCCTCCAATGTTCCGACGTAAAGGCAACTCTATCTTCCCCGAGCGCGTAAGTTAAATCAGATTTTCTTAATTATCAATCACGCTTCGTACTGTTCGTATTACCAACGCAACAAGCTGCGAATAATCGGCACACAGATTATGAACCATATAATGTTTGTTTAAAGGAAATTGGTACTGCGAGTTCGTCCGAACGCTCACACGATTTGTTTTATAGCGACGTGTTCTAATTCCCGGTTAGCATTAGGAAGAAACGATTTGGTCTGCCATTGATTAAATTCTACGCCGATTTGATTAGAAAAGGTGGCCAATTAGTCGGATAAACTCCGCAGAATCAATCTCCGATAAACTCGTTTACAAATGCGAATGACATCCTGTTACACGAACATAATTGAGTCCCGCTGTCGCGAGATATTAACTAGTACGGGTAATGTTGTAATCCCTGAGAAATAGTCGATTAGTTTCCAATCAAACGAAGCCGATAAATGTTTGATTTAATCGTGGTACATCGGTGTGTGCCGGTGCCGGGAATACTCGATGATTTGCATAATATTTATAATCCGGCGAACGATCCAGATACAGTAATACTACGTTGATCGCTGTCGTGTTGGCTCGGTTCACTGTCACTTTTTGCCCATGCCGTTTCGCAGTTCGCCGCAAACTCTGTTTTACAAAGTGGCACAGAAAACACAGTGTTTTAAAATTTCGCGTCCTCTGATTAGAGCGAACCAGTAACCTTCTATAATTAGAAACTGGAATGCTATTTAACGTATCGGTCCGACGACTATTGACATAACACAACTTTGTCGACAGTAAATTCTTCCTAATTTACGCTTAGCTTGTGCATAAAAATTGACAATATCGAATAATCGTACCTCCTATTCCCAAATTGTCCATTTTTGTATACAAACTGAGCGTCAATTAGGCGGACTTTACTGTGTATATTGTTTCATTTAAAATTGGAATGTCAATAGTCTATTCATCCATTACATGGCTGGCTACATTTGAGGAGAATTTATTGTTATTATGTCATGTACTGGATAAATAGACTATTGGCATTTCCATTTTATATATATACATATGTATATATATAATATAAAATATATAAATAATATATATAACTTTTAATAAAATAATAATTATTATTCTTAATAAAATTGTTATCATTTTTTCACAAAACCCACCGAATTACACCAACTCGGCTCAACGTTTCGCTTATGTTAGATATACATTTTCGACCGCCATTGGAATAGTTGATAAAAATATCTATTCGATTTAAAATTGCTGCGCAGCAACGTCGTAGCATGTACAACTTGGCAAAATAGACCTCGCCATTTTATTTTCACTAGAAGGAAGCTCTTAGTCGACGATCCAAGTCTAGCCACGTGCTTCCCGCGCCCAAATTTCGCTCCAAAATGAGCATCGTAGCCTGTAGTAATACCTTTCAGGAAGATGAATGTGCGAATTTCGAAAATAGAGACCGTCCATGCGTGCATCACGCACTCTTGGACGCGTGTCCAGGTAACAGGAAGCGCCGGTGTGCGCCTCTCATAACGAAACCCCTTTCGTTCGGCGATATTCTAATGAAACGCCGAGTAATGATTGAGCCGGGCGCGCTCGGAGCGGCCGAACTCGGTCGGTCGTCTCGCTTGCCCCCGTAGTTTAAACAT